CATACACAAAAAACACTAAGTAAAAGAAAAACAAATATTTTGCACAATAGTTCTACCCTCTCAATTTTTTTTAACAGTAAACCCCTGATCTTTTTTTCACAGACTATATTGATATGTTGTATGAAGAGCTATACAATGTAGTTGAAGTCAACAGCAGTGATTCTGATGAGATGAAACCTCCACCAAATCTATGCAGTGGATATGAAAGACCCGACAAAGATGATGCCATAAAGCAACATTTTTCTCGATTTTCTAAAGATTTGTAATAATTTTTTATTTAAGTCAGTTACAGGTAGTTTCATTTGGTTTCTTCTTTTCTTGTTTTTATAGGAATTCGCACATTGTTTCTATGCAAGTATTTTGTTGATTGTTAGTTCATTTTCAAAATATAGTGTTTTTACAGGAATAACCAAAGACCATGTTCAAATGCAATACAGCATTTAAGATGTTTCATTTGCAGTGTAGTTTTTTGTTAGCTATAACTATAATGTAAAATCCTCTCAATCAACATAATTAAAAGAAAAATACAGACAGTGATCAGCGCACCTTTGAGTTCGCAAGTGATTCACTGCAGTTGGAAATCGTTTTATTTCTGTGTTTGTCTAATTCTTTGTAATATCGCAAAATGATGTATTTGCCGATTTCCGTTAATAGAAGGATTAAGACTAGTTCTAGATCATTTCTAATCTGGATCTGGCTTTTGCTTGCAAATGTTTACTACTTGCTCGTTACCTTTTCATTGAATAATTGACTACAGAAAACAAATACTGCAAGAAATCATCTAAATTTTAATTCAATTATATATTATGCATTATTATAATTTGATTAATATTGATGACCTATGTAGACTGCATTTTCTTCAGGACCTGGTGGTGGAAAATGAGCACGAATGCAACTAACAGCACAAGCAGAAAGAACTACACGGACACTTTTTCCTAAAAAACCCCAACACCATCTTGCAAGCTGACGATAGGCAGTATGTCGATATCTCTCATGGTCAGGACCATCAAATGGGGTGTCATATTGCTGCCTGTATTGAAACCAGGCAGTTTGTAGCACAAATTTGTTCAAACTAACACATTGGAAGCCTGAATGTTGCGTGATGCATTGCAATCTTTCTTCTAAACCAAATTCAAACACTGCTTTTAAACACTTGGCATCAACAACAGTGACCTCCCTACAGCATACACATTCTCTTATTGTAGGCAATATTTGGCATCGTCCACCACATTTACACCTAAATAAAAACACATTTTGTCTTAATTCAATGTTTATTACAGTTCGTTCGTTTGTTGATTTTTAACAATTATCAAGAAAAGGGGGGCGTATACATGTATTACAGTGATTGTATTTCATAGGTATTGTAGCTAATGACAATATACATTTTTTTTTGTATAATGGTTGACAAATTACAAAATTCAATATTACTTTAGCAAATAAGTATTTGAAGGTATCGTGCTAATAGTTTTTTGTCGAATTTCACGAGTTATTCCCTGTTTATTAAGCAGGCAAGATTAGATTCCAAATGCATGAAGGAAAAAAATGAATAGAATTGGTACAATAACACATGTACATTGCACGCGTATAATCAGTGATAGAGGGACTGTGGTATAACGCTAGGAGTACCCAAACATGACTTGTTATATTTATCAGTGATTAGTGTTGACAAAATGAACGATTCAACTTCAAATAAAATTCATGATTTCGAGACACATGAATAGTGAACAATGTTTTAGAAGCGATAAATACTAAAATAGCATAGCTCTGAGATCGTAGCATTTGGTTTCACTACAAGGCATCTCAACGTTCAGTTTAATTTTCGTAAATGAAAACGTTAGGTGCTCAGCTAGTTGTGGCGATCTAAGAAAAAAGGCACCCAGCCATATCTGCCATAAAAACTTTATAATCAATTTTGATTAATCTAGAAATCAAAGCATGCGGTGGAATTCACCGGTTTCGTTACGTACCAATCTAAATTATCGAGTCGAGTACTCGAGTTTTCTTCGACGTGTTGGGCACTACGATCGTCCCGAACGTTGACTTCTGCCATCAGCTCATACATGTACGGCCTTATGATCGTAGACGTATCAAACAAAGTTAATGAATTATCTGAAATGTCGTAATCATCGGTAGCAGCGCTGCTTACATCTGAATGTTCCGCCATGTTTCAACTAGAGAACTTCTCCTTGTGACGTCACGACGCGTTGAAAGTTCGATGACCTAGTCTTGAAACGCGTTCGGAATTATTCGGAAAATACTCACAAAGAGCCGGTTTTCGGCAATATCTCGAAAGTAATTTCTTTCCGAATGTCTTATAAACTTAAGGAAAAAACGTCTCTGCTTATAATGTATATTTTTTCTGTAAATTTTATTTGTATACAGGCACTTGCAATTTACACTTTAAGAGAACAAAAACGTAAAGCTATGTGAATGGATTAAAACTACTGCTGAAGATAGATAACTAAAACAGCAGTGTCACGCTCTCTGCATAAACGGAACGATGGCTTTGTTTATTTGGCCGATGTCGACGAGCAACAGATTTCCTGTACTCACTTCCTCGTCTGATCACCGACCCTCAACGGTCTCACGTATCAGTGTCGTCATCGGTTAAGTAGTTGAAAGTCTTTCGCGTTGATGCGAATATTTCAGTCTAGTCGTCCCTTTCCAACCACTCGCGAGGTTGGTCATAATATGACCTAGATGAAAAATTCTTGAAAAATAAATATAAATTGCGTAAACGAGGGGTGAACGCGAAAGTCCTGTAATTTTGTATCGGAATCACCACGACAGGCTGTGGGCAAGTCTAAATTAGTAAATATAACCCTTAGTTGCAGATTTTTCTTTGCCTCGTCTTGTCATTGGCGTCATTGCTTTTTTTACATCGTCATTGCGTTAGTAAGATGGTGTTATTAAAATAGAATATAGACTTAGAAAATAAAACGATTTCTCAGACGAAGTCTTGACTGATAATAATGCTGACAATGGACGTTAGATAAATATGCATTGTTTGCGACAGGAAGCTTGTCACCCCGTTCTACCAGAATCATCAACAACAGAGTATTACCGGTAGTCACAGTCCCTCTGTGCGGTAGTACAATGTATACATGTACATGTTAGAAACATTATGCAAATATTAATGAAACGGTAGTAGT